AGCTCCAGAACTGTGATTCTGGATTATCCTAGGAATCTCTAACAGCAAAGGTCACAAGATCGAAGCTTTAGAGGTAGGAGGGACCTTAAAGGACGCTGAGCAAACCCCTTAGTTTGTTGCTGTTGTTGTTGTTGTTGTTGTAATTATGTAAAACATTTCCACGTTAGTCATTTTGTACGAGAAGACTCGAATCAAAGAGAAAAAAGAAAGTGAAAAATAGCATGCTTCAGTCTGTTATTCAAACAATATCAGTTCTTTCTCTGGAGGCGGATAGCATGCTTCATCATTAGTCCCTCGGGATTGTCTTGCATCATTGTATTGCTGAGAATTAGCTAAGTTATTCACAATTCTTTATCGAACAATATTGCTGTCACTGTGTACAACACTGTTCTGGTTCCGTTCGCTTCACTACGCATCAGTTCATGTGAGTCTTTCCAGGTTTTTCTGAAATCATCCTGCTTGTCATTTCTTATAGAACAATAATACTCCATTACAACCACATACCACAGCTTGTTTAGCCATTATCCAATTGATGAACATCCTCTTGACTTCCAATTCTTTGCTACCACAAAAAGGGCTGCTATAAATATTTTTGTACAAATAAGTCATTTTCCCCTTTTGTGGATGTCTTTGGGATACAGACCTGAACAATTTTATAACCTTTTGGGAATAGTTCCAAATTGCTGTCCAGAATGGTTCAAACCCCTTGTTTTACAAATGAAGAAACTGAGGTTCAGAGAAGGTAAGCGACTCCCCTTTGATTAAATGGCTAGTAAATACCAGTGGCAAAATTTGAACTCAGGTCTTCATGACTCTAATATCTATTGCTCTGTCTACTGTATCACATAGCTGCTTCTCTAAGAGCATCAATAAAAAAGTTTTAAAAATAGAAATGACTGGTGGGCTAAATTACTACAGACTTCTTTCTTTTTATTAACAATTTTCAGGTGAAGAAAATTCACATTTTGGGGAAAAAAATTCCAGGTCTTTACTGCCTGCCTGATTTCTCTCTTCTTCGGGCTGGGAAAATGGGAAGGAAGAGAGGTGAGGTATAGGAAGCAATATATTAATACACACATATAAGTATATATAGACACACAGGTGTGTATACATATACACACACACACACACACACACAGCAGCTAGCCGGTGCAGTGGATAAAGAGCCAGGCCTGGAGTCAGGAAGACTCATCTTCTTCAGTTCAAATCTGGCCTCAGACACTAACTAGCTATGTGACCCTGGGCAAGTCACTTAACTCTGTTTGCCTCAGTTCCTCATCTACAAAATTAGCTGGAGAAGAAAATGACAAACTATTCCAGTGTCTTTGCCAAGAAAACCCCAAATGGGGTCACAAAGAGTTAGACACAACTGAACAACAACAAAAATGTATATACACACACAAATATGTGTGTGTATTAGAATTGAAAGAGTGATGAAGTTGGAAACAGGAGACCTAGGCTCCTGATTTAGACACTTAACTAGCTGTGTGATTATTAAGCAGGATGATCTCCTTTGGCCCTCAGGTTTTCTCATCTATATAGTGGGAATAACAATACATTTACTACCTACCTTATAGGATTGTTGTGGAAGAAGCGTTTCAGAAACCTTAAAGTGCTACAGAAATTTGAGCTATTGTTATCATCATGCTATCTTGCCTTATTTTTATGCTTAACTGCAAGTGAATTAAATTTTCCTGGTCCATATCCCCTGCAGTTGCAAAAGACCTGCATGATGCACTCTATAAATAAATCCACATTCCCTAACTGTGTAGAAAAGGGTCTTTGGCAGTGTCTTTTCTATAGGATCTAGATATTAATAAGCTTAGCTATATGGGAATGGTGAAATTAAAGGACTGCCAGGAGACCCCATTGAAGGATACTGTACTCTGATCAGCAACATAAAGCTAGCAATATGAACAAGAAAATGAGATTTATTGACTTTAACTTCATTGTTCCAGAATGGAAAATGAGACATTGAAGTATAAAATTGCTGTTAGCTCTGCTTCTTTCCATTTTGTATTCGTGTGTTCCCAATAAATGGGTCACTCCAGGTGATAGTGCACTTCCTGCAGTTTGTAGGCTGGCTTTATTAAAGAAGCAACTTTCTTGGCCCCTGGTCTGGCAAAAGACCAGCACAATCATAATATTCACCCACCCCCACCTTTCCTGCCTGCACAGACTTACAACATTGCAAGTCTATCACTAATAATAGGAGCCAAGGAGAATTGTAAGGCAAAGCGAGCGATGGAGAACAGCCGAAGAGAAAGATAATTGCAAGTTGGAACATAATTAAATCTTAATGCAATGTACAAAATATTTCAGAGCCAACTTAATGGTGTGTGCCTCAGCCAGATTACTCAGAACACAGATTCATTTCAAAAGCTCTCTGTTACAACCTATAATCCCAAAAGACAGCACCACATCATTTGACTGAATATGGATCCTACCTACCAAGTGTTGAATCAAAACAAGACTCTTTAAAAATATATATATATATGTATATATATATATATATGTATGTATGTATGTATAATCAAGTGCTGATCATTTTACTAGTAATCCTCCTCTTATTTCCTCTTTTTCCCAAGGAAAAGGCAAGGGGCATTCATTTTTTACTAACCTTTTTCTAAAATGGTTGATTCCTCCCAGGCTAAACAGTTTTCTCTGAAAATCTTCAACCCATAATTAAGCCTTCCTCTCTGAAATGAGGAGAGTTTACCTAGTAGGGGGACTCAGTGTATAACTCGCATCCCCCATAAAAGGGATTAGCTCCTGAGAGAAGGTGGGGGGGGTAGTGAAGAAAGCTGTTTGGCCAACAAACCTGTAGAGATGAAAGCAAAAGAATGCTGAAGGAGAGGAAGAAGTATGCTTGGGTTCTACTTTGGGGGTCAAACTCCTCAAACATCCCCATTGGCTGTTTCTTGGTCGTTAGAACCATGAGAAATGTTGTGGGGGGAGACGGGGAGGAAGAGAAAACTTTCTAACACTTATATCAATCAGTAAGCATTTATTAAGTACAAGCAGCTAGGTGTTTCAGTGGATAGAACTCTGAGCCTGGAGCCAAGAAGATCCGAGTTCAAATCCAGCCTCAGACACTTACTAGCTGTATGACCCTGGGCAAGTGACTTAATCTCTGTTTGCCTTAATCCACTGGAGAAAGAAATGACAAACCACTTTAGTATCTGTGCCAAGAAAACCCCATGGACAGTATTGGCGGACATAACTGAACAACAACATATACCAAGCTAGGCCCAAAGACACTGTACTAATTATTATAATGCTAAAATACTAATAAATTTTTCACTCCAGGAAGTAAAATGAATTAGTTTAGTGAGATTCTGACAACATCCCTTTTAGTTATATTTGACCTTTGGGGTTAGGGAAGGTAAAAAAAAAAAATTACCAGGGAAACTTACAGATTTTTGAAAGCAAACAGCCTAAGGAATTATTCATGGGCCTGCAAAACTGACCCCCAGTGCTTCATAATGTAGCTTGCCCCACCCGAGCTTCTGATTTCCTTAATATCAGTCCATGGTGGCAGGCTCATGGAAGGGAAATTTCAATGAGTCAAAAACATTCTATCTCCTCTTGACCTACTAGGTACTAAGTGTTAAGAGGGAAGTAATATGCTCTCATAGGCTCTCATAGTTACATGAATAGGGGCTTAGTCCCAGGATTTTGAGATGTTGTTTGAAAAATATTAAAAAAGTCTCTTGCCCAAAAATATCTTTCCTGCTGACCTGACATGGTGGCTGAAATTTCTACTGTTATTATTATCCCCCCTCTCTCAGGGGCTTATACTGTATTGAAAAGGATCCAACATGGGGCAGCTAAGTAGCACTGAAGATAAGAGCACCTGCCCTGGAGTCAGGAGGACCTGAGTTCAAATTTGACTTTTAGACACTTGGCACATATTAACTTTGTGACCCTGGGCAAGTCGCTTAACCCCTATTACAAAGAAGAAGAATTTTTTCTCATTTTTTCTACCATCTGTCCAGATTGGCATCATTCCATTAATCACTCCTTTTTGGGCCTAGTCACTCAGCCAGTTCTGAGTGCTATCTCCCAGCCCATATCTTGCTTTCTTGTCCGCAAGGCTAATCTGAGACACTTTGCCAAATGTCTTGCTGAAATCCAAATAGAATTGAAATATGATCTATCAGTCCTGATCTATCAGTCTGATAACCTCCTCAAAAAAGAGAATGCATTTATTCCAACATGATGTGCTATTTTTTGTGTCCCATATTGATTTGTAATGATCATTGCGTTGCCTTCTAAATGTTCAGCATTTCTGAGTACTATCCCTTCAATTAAAGCATTTTAGAATTTTGCTGAGGATTCAAACAAGTTTGGCTATAATTTGCACAATCAACCTTCTTCTTCCCCTTTTTGAAAATCTAGACAATGTTGGCCCATTTATAATCCTGAAGCACCTCCATACATTGTGATTTTTCAAAGATCATCAATGGTGCCTCAACACAGATCTGAAATCATATTAAATATATTGGATTACAGTTCATGTTGGATTGGTAACTTGAAGCAAATGTGGAATGATGAATGGAAAAAGCCTTGGATTTGGCCTTAAAAGGACTGGGCTTGCATTCTGACCACTATAAACAAACCATTTCACTTCACTGAGTCTCTGTTTCTTTATCTGTAAAATGGGGGTAATGATACTGGCAGTACCTCCCTAACAGGATTATTGTGAGGATCAAATCAGATGATATATGTGAAGCATTTTCTATGAAAATGACAGCTATTATTTAACTCACTGAGGGCACTTAGGCAATCTCACTATTTTCTAATTTATTTTTCTTTTCTATTCTGTTAACCATGTTTGTTCTAACACAGCTCTTCATGATTTTTCCAAGATCCCTGATAGCAGCTCAGCAATTTTATCTACCTGTTCTTTTCTGTACTTTGGGATATAGCTTGCCTGGGACTAACTTCTTAAACATTATGAGGATATCAAAGTATTCTTTTCCTATTATTTCACTTACCTGGAGATTTTATTCTCTGTTAATCATTTTAGTTCTGTTCTCCAAGGTCTGAAAATCATTCTCCCTGACAAAAGAAATAGTAAAAACAAATTGAATAGTTCTACCTTCTCAACTTTTATCTTTCCACCCATATCATGCAACAGTCATCCCTTCTTTGATCCTCCCTCTTACCCTAAACACAAAAGCCAGACATGAACCTTTGTGTTGACCCTAAGGTCTGTTGCCAATCTCAGTTAATTCTGAACTTTAACACTCCTGGCACTATCTACTTACAGGATCACAACACTGTGAATTCATCCTCGGTCACCTTGACTTGTTTCTGTACATTAAAAAAATTCTAATAGATTGAATTAAACTTGATTGGTGATAAGTTAAAATGTGATAGGTAAATTCCATATGTATCAAAATTGGTCTTTCTATACAGCCTGTCATTTTATCCTATATAATAAATGTTTATGATTACATTTTTAGAATTCCTTTCCTGATGTCTTCCTTTCCTTAGTCGGCCAACTTCCCCTGTAGAATCTTAGGCCATGGGAAATTAATACACTATTGATTGAGCTGTGAATTGACCTAATTGTTCTACTTTGGGGTTTAGGAAACATTTTGGAATTATGCAAGAAGAATCATTAAACTCTAAATACATTTTGACCCAGCATTCCTAATACTGTGCTTATAGCCCAAAGAAGTAATTAATATACAGAGAGGTCCCATTTACAACAAAATATTATTAGAATCACTCTTAGTGATAGCTAAAAGCTAAAATGTAATAGGTGTTCATTGAATGGACAATGTTTGAAGAAATTATTTTAAATGAAAGTAATGTTATTTTACTACCAGGAATGACAAATGTAAGGATTTTAGGCATACATTAAATATGTATATTAATTGGTGTGGAGTAAAAAAATCAGAAAAATATATAAACCTGTGTCTGTGTCGATATAGTTATATGTATATATGTATATATGTATATACAGTTATCCCTTCCACATTGTAATTTTCCCTATTACGGTTTTTCTATATCATGGGTTGGTATAAGAAATTAAATAGGAATTTGGGGGGAGTTTTGTGGAAGCTGCAGAGGGTGCAGAAAAAGTTTAGGAACTCAGAAATGCATAAAATATATGTACAGTATTATATAATATAGCCTTTGACCAAATACTTAGCCCAAATTTTACAATAAAGTACTGTAAACACCCCATAAGAGAATAAGAAAAAGAAAAAAAAAAGTCAGACTTCTCTGGTACAAAGGAAGAGTCAAAAAATATTAAGTGGATTTTCCAGATTGCAGGGGCACTGCACCCCTAACCCACCCTTTATGGAAGGGATAACTGTACATCCGTACACACATGCATACATACATGTTTCTAGATTTATGTAGTCATAGATATATAGAGACATAAAGACATATACATATCTTCATACATATATACACAAGCATATACATATATTTAATACATATCCACATACAATTAATGACTACAATGATATAAACAAAAATAACAGCAAAATTCAGCTGAAATCAAATTAATTTCAATGGTCAAACTTAGTCTCAGATAACAGATCATGAAACACTCTTCCTGTCAGTAGACAGAATTGTATACATTGTCATCTATAGTTGCTGTACTGGTTGGGTTTTGCTTAATGGTCTTTTTTTGTTATAAGTGAGTATTTGGAGATGGTATTTTAAGAAATAACTATAGTGTAAAAACATAGGATATCATTAAAGCTTATTTTTTAAAAAATGCATGGCTTTTGGCCATCTACCCTTTTACAGAATCCTTTGAAATCTGTTTTCCCAATATCTAAGGTGCACATCTGACTATGCTTGACTTATTTTTTCTATCATAGATTCTAAAGTAGACTGGTTCCTTTCCTCCATATTTATTACTTTCGTAATTTTAAAGTCAATTGAAAATCTATTATATCTGAAATACTTTTTCCAATCCAATCCAACAGGCATTTATTAAAGCATTTACTATGTGCAAGGTACTGTGCTAAACGCAGGGTACACAAAAGCAAAACAAACAAAATAAAACAGTTTTAACCTTCAAGAAGTTTATAGGCTACTGAAGTATAACCATATGCAAACAGAGTCAGCCCAAATATATGATAAATTGGAGAGGAAGGAGAGAGTACTAACAGTGAAGGAAATCAGGAAAGACTTCCTTTAGAAGATGGCACATGGGATGAACCTTAAAGGAAGCAAGAATTCTAAGAGGTAGAAGTGAGGGGAGAACTGCATCACCAGGGGCACCAAACAAGGGACAATACCTTTGAACTTCAGTTTTCTCATCTACAAAATTGGATTAGTAATACCTTTAATCATTGTGAAACTTACAGGGATGTGTGAAGACACAAGGAAATAATAAATGTAAATCACTTTGAAATTTTTAAAATGCTAAATAAATGTCAGTGATTATTATTATGAGACTCATTTTTTTTTACTAGTTTCAATGATATTCAGTCAGTCTTTTTTACAGTTGTGTCTGACTCTTTCTCATCCCATTTGGGGTTTTCTTGGCAAAAATAGTGAAGTGGTTTACCATTTCCTTCTCCAGCTCATTTTACAGATGAGGAAACTGAGGCAAACAGGGTGAAGTGACTTGCCTAGGGTCACACAGCTAGTAAATGTTTGAGGCTGGATTTGAACTCAGAAAGATGAGTCTTCCTGACTCCAGGCACAGCACTCTATCCGCTGTGCTACCTAGCTGCCTCTTCAAATGATGTCCAAGGATCAAATATTCTTTCTTTCATTAAGATATTTAGCTTGCTCTATGTGTTACCCATCCTCTCAGCCCTTCAGTGAATTCTCTTACTGAATATTATCTCCTGGGTATCTGTTCTTCTTCCTATGTCTTACTTCCTACCTTCTATAGAATCTTATTTCTTAAAAACCTAGATAATTCTTGTCTTCCCACTCCATTTTCATTTTAAGCCTCTTTTGTTCAGTTCTAAAAGTCACTAGACAAATACGTTCTTAAGTGCACCATCCCTGCCTGGCTTCAAGTCTATTATTCTTTTCTTAAGCTCCAGTCTAAAAATTCAGATCCCATCTTCTGACACCATCTTCTTCATCAGCTAGTCACTCTCCATATCCTTTATCTTCTAAAGCCCCTATTTTTAGCCAGGAGCAGTGAAGAAAATGCCACCTAGAGCCCATATCATCTTTAATTTCCCATCCTGGATTTCATAAAATCTAGAAATACTCTCTAAGTCCTTTCTGTTATTATTTATTCCTACATGAATCACCAGAACCAGTGGTCATCAAGTTCGACAAGTCAAGGGAAGCTTTTCCATATTTCCATTCGTATTCCTAATTGGTCATTTCCAGTTGACACATGGCCACCTCAGCAGAAAGTCACCCACTACCAAGACTTGTATCTTTTTCATATGGCTACTAATAAATGCCTTCTCTCATGGTACCACATGTGGATCTTCATCAGCGTTCTATAAAACAAAGCAAACTGCCTCCTTTCCAGAAAACCCAGTTCTACATACTGCAGTTATCCCTTCCATATCACGAGGGGCTAGGCATGCATCACCCCCAAAATCTGTAAAGTCTGTATAAAATTTTTTGGCCCTACTTTCATACCAGAGAAGAAGTCTGAATTTTTTTCTTTTTCTTTTCTAGGGTTATTTGCAGTATCTTATGGTAAAATTTGGGTTAAGTATTTGGTCATAGGTTCTGTGTCATCTGCTGGCCTTCACGGGCTGTCTGTGGCTTCTGCAAAACTCCAAAAAATCCCCATTTAATTTCTTATGCCTACCCATGATATATCAAAACTGTGATGGGGAAGTCGCAATGTAGAAGGGATAACCTATTTCATAACTCAAAAGATTCCATGGTCCTTCCCTTCCTTCTCTGTGTCAGATTCTGATGATATGAATCAGGATTCCTCTTTCTCCTCACTCTATTCTTCTTTGTTTTCTTTCAAAGAACTCCATTTTCCCTAATAAATCGAAAATTAGACATCCCATCAACCCTTTAAACTTTTTCTGTGACAGGGAAAAAAAGCTGCATTTTGTAAATGTGTAATTGTTAATTAATCACTAAGGTTTCTGAAAACCACTGGAACATTCCCTTCCCCCTCCATACCTGCTCAAATGTCAATCTTCGGTTCACGGCAGCTCTTGCTACCAATGTTCATAGTGAACTGCCATGGAAAGCTGTTCATTTGCTGCACCTGTTCATTTTTCTACAGGCATTTTTTTTTTTTATTTGCCAAGACTCCTGAGTAAGCTTTTAGAGCAGGATTTCCTGCCTTTGCTATCTGGGGGTTGCTTGCCCAGGTGTTTATGATCAGCAGTTAGCAGATTCCTACCAACACCATAATGCAAACAGTAACTCTGATCATCTGGTATATCCTCAAAGGCATTCTAAAGAAAATAGCTCTTTCTTGTCCCTTCTTTTGTCCTTTCCTCTCTCACCTACTGGTCAGACAGATACTGTCTCCTTGCCTCTTTATTATACCACCATCTTCTATATACCATGAAGAACTTTTGACTCTAATTTAAGAGAATCAGGACAAGTTATAAAGGATTTCTTTTTTTTTTTTTTAGTCAGAAATGTAATTTCATTGGTTCAGGGAGCTTCTGGTGAGGAAACTTTATAAATACAGATAAACAGTTGTTCTGCAGCTCATACTCTTAGTAAATTATACAGGATCACACAGCCACTATGTGTTCGGGCTAGAACTCGGACCCAGGTCCTCTTGACTCTGAGGCCAGCCTTCTGTCCACTACCCAATGCTACTTTTAAAAAAGGAATGTTATTTTTAATAAGTAAACAAGCATTTATTAAGGGCTATGTGCCAGGCACTGTGCTGAACACTATTATTTATGCCTGGGATTTAAAGGTAACTCAACTCTCAGGGGGAAATAATTTTATTGTGTGTATGTATATATGTATATATGTGTGTATATGTGCATATACATATACACACATATATATGTAATATTAATCATCAAAGATAAAACTTTCCAAAATGACATAATTATATCAATAGATACAGAAAACAGCTTTTGACAAAGTATAGCACATTTCTGCTAAAAAAAATCCTACAAAGCATAAGCATAGAAGGATCTTTATAAAAAATATGATATTAGTATCTATCTAAAACTAAGAGCTAGCATTGCATGCAATAGGGAAGCACTAGAACCTTCCTTAGGAAACAGAAGAATAGAGATATCAGCAAACACTACAAATCAGGTCTTGGTTTATTATTTTGTTACTTGCCTATACTTGGAGAAAATGTTAATATTGCAGATTAAATTTAAAAGTATGTTATACAGACAATTTTAGGAGAACTTGTTGTTAAATATATATTAACACACACTTAATCCCATTCCTTATTAGAATATAGTTCTAAAAATGTTAGAAAGAGCAATAAAACTAAAGAATAAAATTAAAGTATAAAGTTAATAAAGAAGAATCAAATCGATCCTCTGTGCTGGTGACATGAGGATTTCTGAGGCCCACAAAAGTTTATTTTGAAGTTTATTAAGAAAGTCCTAGGAAATCAGCAAAGAAAAAATTGAGATAATAGCTTTAGCAAAGTAGAAGTTTACAAAATGGAACTGCAGAAATCAACAGCATTTCCATATTGCAATAGTAAAATTCAGGAGGGAATAATAGAAAAGGAAGTTCTATTCAAAAAACTTTAAAAATTCATAAAATATATAAAAGTTAATCTACCAAAGCAAATTCAATACCTACATAGATACAATTATAAAACACTATTTAAAGAAATGAAGTACAATTGGAAGTATTTCCAATGCTCCTGGCTGGACCATGCCAATATAATAAAAATGACAATACTACTTAAATGAATTTATAGATTAAATGCTATGCCAATAAAACTACTAACGTGATACTTTGCAGAGCTAGATAATAAAATAACAAAATTCATTTGGATGAACAAAAACTCTAGAACTTAAAGGAGAATAATGAAAAAAAATTAGGAATGAAGAGCACTTTCAGATCTTAAACTATAGTATAAAGTACTAATTACCACAATTATTTGGTACTGGTTAAAAAATTAAAAAGTAGATCAATATAATATGTGGTGCAATAGATAGAGCATTAGGGCTGGAATAAGAAAGACCTAAGTTTGAATCCTAACTCAGACCACATACTAGGTATGTGATTCTGGGGGCAAATCACTTAACTTTTCTGAGCTTTAGTTTCTTCTGCATCCAGAGAAAGAACTGACAAATAGAAGTATGTATAGAATGATTTTACAGACATACACATATGCACATATATATGTGTATACACACACACACACACACACACACACACATTTGTGTCCAATGGTAGCCATTGGAGAGTGGGGGAGAAGGAAGGGAAAAAAGGAAAGTTATTTTATTATATATTTGAAAGGAATAGCAAGTTGTACATAACAGACTTGCAGTTTCATGTGAATTCATTTTTTTTGTTCTACTATATTACAGAAATGCTTGTTTTATTTCATAAATTAAAAATAGGGTAACTAAAATAAAAAAAAAGAAAAAGAAAGGTTTGGATTTGATGACCTCTAAGGTCCCTTCCAGTACTAAATCCATGATTCTGTGAATAGATTAGACAAGGAAGAATAATAAATAATTGAACTCAGTAATATAATGTTGGATAAATTCCAAAACATAAATGACGTAGGAAAGAACTTCCTATTTAATAAGAATTTCTGGGAAAAATAGAAGGCAATCTGGCACAAATTAGGTTTAGATAATCATCTTCTACTGTATACCACAACAAACTAAAACCAGATATGTAATCTGAATAGTTTAGATTACACCATAAAAAAAAATTAGAAAAGAACCAAATCAGGTACTTTTTATAGCTATAGCTACAGGGCAAATTCTTAACCTAAAAAGGGATAAAGGTAATGATAAAAGATAAAGAGATCATTTTTATTATGTAAAATCGAAAAGTTTGTGCATTAATGAAATTAATGTAACCAAGAATGGAAGTGGTTGATCAGGAAAAATTTGTATCATGTATCTTTAAACAAGGTTTAATACATGAATGCAATGGAATATGACTTTGCTAATAATAAAAAAGTATGAATATGATGAATAAAGAGAAGCATGGGACATCACAAACTGATACAAAGTGAAGTGAGCAGAACTAAGAAAACAATATACACAATGAATATGACAACATAAATGGAAACAACAACAGCAATAAAACAACTAAAGCTGAACTGTTCAAAAATTATAATGACCAACCTTAGCCCTGAAGAAGAGATATGAGATAATAACTTCCCCTACTTCCTTGCAAAAATGGGAAATTCAGTATAGAACATTGTCTATAACATGAATACTTTTTGATAATTACATGTTGGCTAGTTTTGCTGAATTTTATTCCTTTTTTTATTCTTAATATTATAAGGATAGTTGGAGGAGGGATACATTGGAAAATAACAATAAAAAATTTGTTTTAAAAAACACCTTTAAAAAATTAAAAATGTTTTAAAAAACATTTCTTAAAAAATAGTATCACCTATTTCCTAAAATTCTCAATCTATATTTTTTCTCTTTCATAGTCAAACTCTTAGAAAATGAAAACTCTTAGAAAACTCTTATACTCATTGCCTCACTTTTCCAGCTCCCATTTGATTCTTAAAACTTCAAATTTTAGCTTCTGACCTAGTCACTTAACTGAAACTATTCTTTCCAAGGTCATCCATCAATGATCTTTTTATTGCTAAACTAAATGTACTTCCTATCAAGATGGCTGCCAAAAAGGAAGGCAGACCACCAAGCTCCCACATAATTAGTCAAGCAAAAACCTGACATTTTCACCAGACCTGATAAAGATCAAGATATCCAATGAGAAACTATAGTAAGTGCTTTTTACAACAATATTGCAAAAAAGTTATCTAGAAGCCCACAGATAAAAGGAATAGGGCCTCTTCATCAAAGTCAGCAATGGCATGTCGTAACCTCCCACTACATCAGAGATTGACAGAGATGCATGAAATTTGCAAGGCTCTATGTCCAGAGCCTGCTGGAGTGGAAGGACCCCTGAGGAAAATCTACCTTACATATGGTTCATATCTAGAGCATCCCTAGAAGGAAATAACAGGGTACAAGTACGCAGTACACAAAACGGGTGCCAGGTATAGGACAGCAATTTATTTCTTCTACCACAGAAAATGATAAAAACACAAATGACTCCAAGATGTACATTAACAAATACAGAAAATCATAAAACAGTAACTCATAACATTCACTGTGCTTTCCTGACAGGCAAAAGCAACTTTGTGAGACTGCTGAACAAATATTTCACATTCATCTCAGATCTACACTGTCAGAGCAATTCACAAGGTCCAAATCTCATGATCAGCCTATGCATGACTTGGGCTTGTTTTGGTCCTTTCATTACAGAATCCTCCTGAAAGCGGTGTTCTTTTCCTCCAAGAAGTGGTCCTGTTTTAGGAATTCTCTCCTGCTGGACATCTGACACCCAAACCCATAGCTCCTAAACTCTTAAATTCACAAAGTTGACACCAGTGCTGGCAACATCCTTTTCTCAAAGGATTGAGGCTGCTGATTGCTAGCCTATTCTTATTTAAGGAAATAGAAAGCTAAATGTGACCAGAGATTCAGGATCCCCAGGCAAGCACGTGGTTCTGTTGACATGTGCTTGTAGTTGACATTGCCACATGGGGGAGGGGAAGGGAAAAACCCCCAACTTACCCCATTGGATGTCCAAGGTGGAGAAAGCACTGGTTGCATCCTAGAAGAGGGAGAGCCAAAAAAAGAATAAGGAGTTATTTCCAACTCTCTTATAGAACACTAAAGTGGTAGGTTCCTACTGACTCAGTTGTCAATCATCTTTGACATAACCCTCTATTCTTGAGGAAACATGAGGACTGGTCAGTTGCTTCATCATCCCAAAGAACATGTCCTTCAGTTCTAAGCCAGAGCACAGGTCTACCACCATAGGTAATTCCTCTTTCTGACAAAGGTCTATTATGCTCTGTAATTTCACCAAAGCGATTCAGGTACTCAGTTATCAATTTCCCTAATCAGTTCCCCTCCCACTGCTCTAGAATATGACTCTTTAAAAAAAGAAGTATGATTCATTCCAAATGTACCAGAACATACACTGTTTTGAATTGTCTGATGGCAAAATGAGAGTGCATAGAGGGAGGAAGGAGGAGGATCTGTTTTCCATAAACCTTCTTTTTCCTTTGCAATAATAAACACTTCAAATCAGTATATGAACAATTTGTTTTTCAAAATATATATAGAAATGACTATTTACATTTTCTGGGATTCAAGATACAGGAAATCTTGAGTTATTTTTAAAGCTCAATCCCTTGTTATAAAGTTGATAAACCAAAATCCAGGGAGAAATTAAAGCAACTTGCCCAGTTAACAGAGTCTGAGAAGGGAAGAGTCAATTCTGGGACCTAGGTTTCTTGCCTCCTGATACAGTGCCCATTCTATTATAACTAGCCATCAGCTGTATTATTCTATTATAACTAGCCATCAGCTGTATTATTAGGCTTGGAAAATCCCAAATACTTTCAGCTTTATTTTGCATCTGGTCACTGTTGAATTTATATTCTTTCCATCATGAAAATATTATTGTTTTGTTATCCTAATTCTTGTCATTGATTATCCAATCTGCATTGAAAGCATGTGGATCAAGACATATGTGTTATATCTAACACTTCTCAGAAACAAACAAACAAACAGGTAATCAGGTAGTACAGTTCTGACTTGGAGTCAGGAAGACTTGAGTTCCAATCCTGCTCCTTGGATGTTTGGAGGTTTGGAGTTTTAGTCTTTGTTGTGTAATCCTGGACAAGTTGTTTTATCTCTGTCAGCCTCAGATTACTCATCTGTAAAATGGAGATAATAATGACATCCCTTCCACAGGGTTGTTCTGAGAATCAAATGAGATTACATATGTAAAGCACTTTGCAAAACTTAAAGTGCTTAATAAAAACTAGCTATTAATGTTGTTGCAATCGTTATTACTAGTAAACAAGGATTTCACTCAAAGGAAGTGTTTGCTGCTCTGAGCAAAAGAAAGTTTCCTTAAAAAACAAATATGAAGGAGAAAATGAGAAGGTGGTACAGTGGATGGAGCTCTGCAGCAAGCGTCAGGAATACTTGAGTTCAAATCTGGCCTCAGACATTTATAATATGATCATGAGCAACTCCCTAAGCTCTGTCTACCTCGGTTTCCTCTTCTGCAAAATGAGGACGCTAATAGCACCTACCTCCCAGGAAGGTGAAGATAAGGTGTTTGTGAAGATAAGATGACATAATATTTGTAAATCATTTTGCAAACCTTAAAATATTATGTATGAGCTAGCTGTTATTTGTATTATTACCATTATTATCAAACTCTAAAGAACATCAGATACAACCTTGGAATGAAAGTCATAATGAAGGAGGTAATCCATAGAAGAAAATAGTTAGGAAGGGGAATGGGAAGAATATGCATCAGATCTCTACACTTCAATGAATAATAATGGATAATGTCCAATGGATAATAATAATAATAATTATTATTATTATTGATCATTATATAATTATCTAATTTATAATAAAAAAGTAAAATTTTAAATATTAATGAAAGTAGGCAAAGACTACTTAATAGTTTACATGTACATGTATATGTATGTGTGTTTATGTGTAATATGCACGTGTTTATATGTATATAGCTCATTTGTACATAATTGCATGTTGTCTCCCCCTTTAGATTGTGAGCTCCTTGAGGACAGGTACTGTCTTTTGCCTTTCTTTATAACCCCAATACTTAGCACAGTGCTTAGCACATTAAAAAAAAAGAAAACACTTAAATGCTTACTGACTGACTGAGGTAGAATTTTCATTCCTTTATAAATAGAGCATCTGATAATTTTTTTCTTGTTTTCCTCACAATTTTATCTCTCCATAGGTTGAGGAAGTAACAAGAAGCACTACTGTGGGGGCAGCTAGGAGACGCAGTGGATAGAGCACCGGCCCTAAAGTCAGGAGGACCTGAGTTCAAATCTGACCACAGACCAAATATTTGACAGTTACTAGCTGTGTGAGCCTGGGCAAGTCGCTTAACCCCAATTGCCTAAAATACAAATAAAACAAACAAAAAAAAGAAGCACTACTGTGACTTAATTCTGATAAGTGCAGAGGATCTGGTGAAGTAAAAATGATAGGTGTCTGGAGTGACCAACAGCGTGAAGTCACTGAACACTTAGCCTAGCACAGTGTTCTGCATATCATAGCCACTTAAGAAATGTTTATGGAACTGAATGCTCAGATATATGCCCTCAATTTTAAAATAATTTTTTTAATCCAGCGAAGATACAGATAATGGATCTCTTAACCAGGACCATTAAGAAGGAAGAGAACTAAAGAGGAAGAGGAAAAAATGAAATTCGGACAATGTAATTGCATATAATCTTGACAAAAAAAAAGAGAAATGACATCAAAAGGGACAGATTTGGCCACATGAGGAGCTCTTTGATGAATTCAGATTTTTAAAGGATATGTCCAAAGGGTAGGAAAGCGGACTTTCAAAATAGAGATATTTGGAGTAAGTAAAAGGACAAGGAAAGGGTAGGGTGGCTCTACTATTCCAGGCATATACTGTAACATAAACACATGACAAAGAAAATGCCAAACTACTCAATTCCTTTTTCTTTCTATTTTCTCCATCAATTACAATAATGTTCAATCTGAAATGATGGAACAAACATGGTTTAAAAGAAAAATTAACCCTTATTAATTCATTATTGTTAAGAGGTCTCCAGTGTTAGGCAGCAAGGCTTTGTCCTCAGTCCTGTTCTGTTTAAAATGTTTATAAATGACTTGGATGAAGATACAGGTTGCAAACCTCAACTTTGGTGACCCAAAGCTGGGAAGGATGGTTAATATATTGAGTAATATTGATCTGGAGCCAAAAGATCTCAGCAGGCTGACATGAGGAACTGAAACTAACAAGATTAAGCTACACTTAGGTCATAAAAATCCAATACATCAGTGGGAAAGGCATGGGTAGATAGCAGAACATGTGAAAAACATTTAGTTGTTTCACTGGACTACAAGCTCAATGTGACTCAATCCATTCTGTGTCTGACAGCAAAAGTTAATTATATCTCAGGCTACATTCATAAGAGGATAGTGCCCAGACCACAGGACATAATAAACCTTGTATACTCCATAAGGGGAATAATGTCCCATCTAGAATTCTGTGTTCATTTTGGAGAGGCAATGAAGTCTCATAGTATTGAGAATGAAGAGATCTGGGTTCTTCTCCCCAGGGCTCTTCCTAGTTGAGATCCTGGGTAATACAAATAATCTGTATGTTCCTCAGTGTTTTTATATATATGTTTTATGAATGAAGAGGTCGAACTAGGTACCTTCTTCCAGCCAATGTCTTCCAGCTCTAACATGCCGTATATAGTCTTAGGGATACTTAAAAGCTGGTTCATCCAATAGAGGACACCCAAGATGATAGGAGTCATACAAGGAGAAATGGGAGGAACTAGGGATTAATTTCCCAAAGTATAAGAAGACATTGGAGAAATGGGGAGCATGATAGCTGTTTTCAAATATTTGAAGGGCTACTATGTAGGTGGCACAGTGGATAGAGCGCCAGGCCTGCAGTCAGAAAGACCTGAGTTCAAATCCAACCTCAGGCACTTCTAGCTGTATGACACTGGGCAAGTCACTTAACCCAGTTTGCCTCAGTTTCCTCATTTGTAAAATGCAAACCACTCCGGTACCTTTGCTAAGAAAAGTAGAAAAGTCAGACACAACTGAACAACAACAAAATTATGTAGAAGAGAGAAGGGATATATTCTCCATAGCTCCATAGCTCTACAAAGGAAAACTAAGGCTAAACTAGTAGAAGTTACAAGAATTTTGGTTCAATGTAAGTTAAAGTATTATAAAAGAGCTATTTGAAAATCAAAAGAGCCCAACATGTACAGCAGTTCATTTCCTGTCACTGAAACATGTAGTTTGAGGCTGGCTATATGACCACCTGTAAGAGGTAAGAGGGACTTGAGCATGTGATAGGAGACTAGACAAGCTGACTTTTAAGGTCCTTTCCAACTTAGCAATTCTATTCTTTTTCTATTTCCTTATCCCTTTCTCCTAGGTCCTTGGTTTTTAAAATAAACATTTATTAATCTTTGACTTGTTCAAGATAATGATGTAGATATTGCATTATTTTTAAGAATATATATATATAATCTTCAACTGGAAGAAACCCTAAAGATCACTTAATTCAACTCTCTTATTTTACATATCAGTAAACTGAGGAGGTCCGAGAGAGGATAAGGGACTTACCCAAAGTCATATAGATAGTAAATATGAAAGGTGGGATTTGAACCCAGGCCCTTTGACTCCAGTGCCAATACTTTGCCCATTATACTGTCAAAGAATGAGGAGCTTACAATGAGAAAATGTATCAGATTTAAGAAGTATACAAAGAAAAGCAGAGCACCAAAGAATCCAAGAACCTAAAAAGATGTTGCCCTATGTCTATGAAAAATTGCTTTGCTTCTCCATGCTTTTTCTTACTCTACTCTTTGAAGCACAGTTTTGCCTGCTCAGGGAAATTCTGTAGCTTGTCTGTAAAGGTTTTCTAATTTTCCAACATCACAACCACAGCAGAAGCTGACTTGGGATTTTTCACATTGTATTCTGTGCTTGTCCAATTACAGGCATACCATAAGGGGAAAAAAAAAACACAGAAAATTCAGTATCTCCACAGTGCCCAGGCAGCGAGGCAGAGATCTCAGACTAAAGTACGGCACAATGCTATCTCTGGAAAACTTGAGTACTTTCTGGTAAGCGGGCCATGTTCTGATTCCTGAGAACTCCCTCTGTGCCCTAAATAAGGTCACTGGTTTTAAACAGAACTAAACAAAAATGT